TCAGCTCTGAGCCAAGAAAACTTAGGAGGGTGTTTAACAGCATTGGTCTAGAACACCTATCTATAGAAGAGAATGGGAGAGCAGCCTGAATATGGAGATATGAATTCACATCTTTCACTTCTCTAGTGCATTTACCTTCCCAACACTTCAGTACATCAAGGAAGTCTTTGGTGAAGAGCTCAGGCACAGAGCAACAAGACACAGATACAAGTAAGTTTAGACACTGAAAGTGAGAGTGGGATGAGAAGTAGGGTTGCTCTATCCAAATGTGCTCAGGCCAAACACCCAAAAGTCCCTGCTCAGCAGCCATTTGTCCCTGGAAGTGGGCAGACATCAGAGGCTGCCTTTTTATGACATTTCCCAGTATAAACCAAGTTACCTATCAGTCTCAGTAAGATTCAGAACCTACCTCATACTTCATATGTCTTATAATCAAGTTGTTCTTTTGGCCTGAGAAGAGTCTAGGGAGGGGTGTGCACAGGGAGATGACAAAGCTTTCATCACATACTGGAGTCACCAACATTACAGACAAAATGTTAAACTTAGGCAACCCTGAGCACAGGAAGTTTAATGAACAAATCTTGTATTCTGTGACACAAGTGGTAATGTTGTCTAAGTAAAGAGGAACATACCATGAACAGCCCATGAGACATCTAGGGGACCATGTTCCCTGCAGTCCTGTTGGCTGAGCAATCTCCTGAGTAATTACTGTCCCTACCCACAAACCAGAAATGCCACAATGTGGTGGAGAAGAAGTTTCTGGTGAAATCTCATGTTTTGATAAATCCCAGAAGATTGTATACACAGCAGGGATACTGACAGTCACAACACCTGGGCAGCAGGGCCTGTGCAGGACTCTGCTGGTGATGTGCAAATACATGGCTCTGGCTTAACAGTGTTTCTTTGGGTGGAAACCAGCGTGTTCAAAGGACATTCTCAATCCTTTGGGGGTGTCAGTGACAGGACAAGAACTGGTACATTTTCTACAGCATGGTTTTCACTTACCTCTGATTACTGCCAATACCAATCTAATACCCAGTCTTTAAGATGTCAAGAAACTGCTTTCCTCACCTCTACTTAGAAGTTGTAGACAAAGTGCATATTGGCATATATTAATTAACTTCTGCTATTTTTCTCTAGGAAAATGATAAACAATAAAAGGACTTACATTTTTACTAAGGACATCTAAAATGTCAGCTGTACCTAGTGAATGGAATAAGAAGAATGTAATTAAACATCTGCTCTTTCACTCCTAGTAATGACTTTAAAATAGCCAGAAAACTCTGAAGGTTGTGGCCATGGTAACAGACACCAGCTTAGGAAAAAGGAAATATCTGCAGTTATAATTGAACATAGAGATTGCTCATCTCCTTCTCTGAGCTGGAAGTTTACAATCAAAGCTTTGATGTGTGTGCTGGTTCCTCTAATACAATTTCATCCTATGCCATGTGGCACATTTATTGTGAGAAACTACCAAGTATAAAAATATGCATATGTTGTTCCAATGCTACTTTCACTCTTGTTTGAAGGAAGAAAAACTGCTCTTTTTTTGGAAAGTGGCTGGAGCAACTGCTGGTAAATACTTTTGTGAAAAGCGACAATGCAGCATGATGGCAATGGGCCAGACTTCCCTAACATGCAGCTGTCTCCCTCCCTCAGATCAGCAAAGTAATTGCTGCTTACATCAGAGTGATGTCCAGCAGCAACAAGCAGCATTTCTGGAAGATCCTGCAAAACTGAACCTAGAGACCTTCTTGGTTTGGCTGAGAGAGAATTGATTAGACTCCTCAAAAACACCTGACCTTGTCACACCCTAATATCTGGCCTGCTGCCTCCAGTGCCTCCCCACACTCTGTCCTGTCCATGGCCACAGTCCATTCCACCTTGCATCCCACTAGGCACTGCAGTTCCTCAGACACAGTCAAATGAAGAACAAGGCCACTAATCAAACAAAGCCCAACAAAATAAAAATCACAGCAGAGACAGGGAAGACAAGCTGAGACAGAGGTGGAGTGGGGTAACATGGGTGTGCTGCACACAGAGATGACAAGCAGCTCCTGGAGCAATGCACGATGACTGGAACCACTTGCAGCAAGCGCCAGCAGTGAAGGAAAGGGCTTTTCAGAGTGTTTTACACACCTGTGTGACAACTGCCTTAAATGGGAGCTTGTAAGCAATGTGCATATTGGCCAAAGAATCCAGACAAAAAGCATTTGCTACTTTAGTGCCTAATATCAACCTTGGTTCATAAAAAAAAATAATTCTTTGAAATGCAGATGAAAAAATGTGATATGAAAATAAGCAGGCAAAGGAAGGCTCAGGGTTGCAGGTTGCTGAACCCTACTGAAACCACCAACTCATATTTTCGAAGGCTTCCTGTGAACTTTGTCTGAGATTCACATCTAGAATTGGGGTGAACCTCAGCTGCTGGCTGGAGGCCTGCTGTGAAACTGGTGCAAGTAAATAGGTTGTAGCAGTCTTCTGTGCAGGCAATAATTATGGGCAGGGTGTGAGTACCTGAAAATATTGTATTTTTTGGGTGTGATTTCCCTTTTGAACTGCACTCGAAGCACTCAAACAGCACAAACAGTACTAATTTATTTGGATTTTGTTAATATAGAAGCTATTAATACTTTTTCCTATCGGTTTCCAAGCAAACAAGATGCCACTGTGTCCTTATTGCAGATGCTTTTAGCACACTGTTTGGAGCATCAAACATTTTGGCCTTCATATAGGAAGACAACACACCAACCTAAGGATTTATTTTTGTCCTGATCAGTGGCTTAAAATTATATTAAATTAGCACATACCAAGCTGGATCCTGCAATGTAAACGCTGCCTTTTCAAATGTGAAGACAATGAATTTCTCAGAGAAGTCTGGTGGAGCTTGAGACCTCCTCTAGCATGGCCAAAAGAAATAAAGCTACTTTCACCAGCATTACCTGGGTTTCATGCCTGTGGTTTTTAACAATATCATCCCTGCAGCACGGACAGATGAAAATTTAATTCAGTGAAGCTCCAAGAAACTCTGGTCTCACTAGCAGTGCAAGGCAGTCAATCATGAATGGAAATCAGTGACCTGTTAAGACTTGAGGGTTGGACAAGATGACCTTTAAGGGTCCTTCCCAACCTTAACTATTCTCTGATTCTGTGATGCCTTGAGGGGCACCTGACAGCCCCTCTGCACAGCTGCTCCACGCACATACAGCCACCTTGCTCCCTGGCGCTTGACCACACTGTAGCAGAGCCATTCCCGTCCCTGAGCCTGCAGAGATGGACAAGTTCAGCAGTTGCACTGCTGAGGTGTAAGCTGCCATCCAGCCTAAAATGCTCAGTTCCTGGGGTTTCCTTACTGAGTGCCATATCTGTCCCTCAGCTGCTGCCACAGGAGGCCTGTGGGTATTGAGCAATCCCAGACTGACCTCACCTGACCTCATGAGATGCCCAGAGCATTCATCCCTCCCCGACCCCAAAACATGAACAAAGGCCTGAGATGTCTACCCAGCATCACTGTGCCACAAGTTGCTCTCCCTCCTCCTTTAGCTGCTGAACTGCAATAGCCAGTGGGAATCAGCATCTCATGTGCCACCAGTACTCAGAAGCTACTCCTGTTTCCAGATCAGAGCTGCAGTGGACTGGCAGTGTTTGTGGCTATCTGAAACTCATTGGAAGAGTAGGGCGGTCAGGAACTGCTGCAGAAGAGGGGAGGAAGCAGACAAGGGGAGGCAGATCTGGTGCCAGACAGCACTCCTCCTTTTTTCACTTGGAGGACTCCTCAGAGCCCGCTCCATATGACCTTTCACGTGAGCTGCAAGAGTGCTGGTAGCCAAAGGGAGGGGAGATTTAGTGCTGCTCTGTTTCCTTCCCTGGAAAATTTGCTTTTGTAGGAGGAGGTCAGAGAGTCAGAGCAGCAACCTGAGAGAGGGAATTCTCGCCTGCTTTTCTGAAGGACTGGAAATTGAATGGAGTGTGCCATGAAGCCTCACTTCACTGGAGCTTTTATCTTTTAAAATTAGGTTAGGAAATTTATTGCTACAGTAGCTTAATCCCACAGTGCATTATCTGTACACATGATGGACTGGAATATGAGCTAATTCTGTCAATAAAGTGACTGCCTGCATCTTGATTGTCAGATACAAGGAATTCAGTCTTCCTTTTGAGACACTAAGCAGCTGCAGTCTGGCACACTCCCCTGCCTATGCTTTTGGTTTGGATGCTTCCTACATTCAAGTTTCTCAGCAAGAGATGATGCTGTGGAAAGGGAAGAAATGGGGGAGAAATTTGGTTCCAGGCACCTGGCTGCACACTGTGACTCTGCACTAGCCTGTAGGGTGGCGTGGGGGCTGCAGCCCCCAGGGACTTCTCTGACTGATACCATGAGCTGTGTATGCACTGGGAACCCAGCTGCCTGGCTCTGCTTGTCTTCAGTCTGTGCTCTGCACTGGCAGGAGAGGCAGAGACCAGCAAGCGTTCCCCCTGAAGGGTCAGATCAGCAGGGAGCTTCCTTGGTGGAAGGGATCTGCCACTGGGCACTCACAGCCACAGCCCCCAGTTTTTCCTGAGCAGAGCAAGGGGGCTGGACTGCAGGTACACACTGAGTGCTGTGAATCTACAATCAACCTTCAACAAGATACATCCTTCAGCAACAGCTCGGGAGGGGACTGTTTTAATATCAAACTCTCCACATTACTTACCTACAAAAAACTCCAGGTTTGGAAATCTAAATTTCACTGTCTCTATACAAGCTATAGAAATCTAGAGTATACCATCTCTAAATGGAATCTTGAGAGTGAGTGAACAAATTCCAAATTTATGGGTTGGCAGAAACAGAGATACGGGAGGCTAGTTTCACAAAATTGCTTGAGCAGACCACAGTCTCGGTTTGCTCAACATGGAGTGTCAGATTGAGTTATATAAGTCCTTCTTGATGTGAAGTTCCTTGATTTTTAGCAAAAACAGCTGGAAAATGAAACTTCTTAACAAAATAAAGCCTCTTCTACCTGATTGCTCAGCAGACAAATCCTCAAATCAATTATTCTTTGAGCAGCATCCAGGATAACTGGTCAACCAAACAAGTAAGAGGAAGTCTGGAATGTCACGGGAGTATCTGGTCCTTGGTTTTACAACATCTCAGATGTAGGCACTAGGCAAAGGCTTTTCAGACAGCCTGCAATATGAAAAGGTGAAAGCTTATTCTTCAGATCAAAGAATGCTCTAATGTTCATATAAAAAAAGTTAAATTATAAGCAGCAGGGAACAAATTTAAATAGATTGACTTGATATTTCTGAAGGCCCTTTCCTCTTCATTTTAAAGGAATTAGTTCTCTTTCAGTTCATTCAGTTCTCATTTATACAATATATTCAGAAGAAGTAGCTGATAAAACCTGAACTACTCATGGGAAGGAGGACAAGGACTGATTTTCCTGTCATCAGAAGGGCAGCTACATATTCAGTAATTTCTCCTCTGTTGGTCTATTTGAGCCCAAAAGAGAAATAGCTGTGTTATTTGGTTTGTGAGATGTCACCACCAACTCCTCCAAAAGTCTCTAAGCCCTTTGGCACAATGAAGAAGACAGATATTTGTCAGACTTCACAGGGAGATGTTTGGGGAGAAATCTCACAGTCTTAACTGAAGAACAAACAGGAATGTATTAGGACAACAAGATATTTATAGTCTCACACATTTTGAATGTAAAGGGTACAAATATCATTTTTGCTATTCCTCTGCAGGCCAAGATACGAGGGACATATGCCAGAACACAAAAGAATTTTCACCCCATTCCAAATTCCCATTAAAAAAAAGCACACTAAGTCTGAAAAATAAGTGTAGTCATTTGAATCATGAATTTGGCTTTGAAACCCATTGGGAGACTGAAGCAGAGCAAAACACATCTGCTAACACCCCAACTTGAGCACCACAATTGGCAAGTGCTACTGAAGAGAGATCTCAGACTGAAGTTGTAGAAATATTAGAGGTTAAAACTGAAGTTTCTTGGCAGAACTGACCTTTTATGGAAACTCTGTAGGAAGTCTGCCTGCACTGGCTTTCCAACCAGTACATACATTAATTTCTAATACATACATGGATGTATATAGAAAGGCTAATTCAAAACCACTTGGGTAAAATCAAAGCAAATCATTCCTCTGGGGATGTGCTGGACAGAGTTAGGCAGATTTTTCTACTTTCAGGATCATGAACTGAAATCAAAGGAGAAATCTCAGATGGAAGGTGGTTACAGTTGGGTTCTTCCAAGCTGAGTTTCGGGATGGATGCAGTTGTACATTTTTATTAATAACCAGGAGGTGTAATCTCAAAGCAATGCAGTTACTGATGATGCCAAGGTGACAGGCACCATCAGGTGGACACCAGACTACCCCACAAGAAGAATGGGACAATCTTAGCACCAGGATAGTGCAAAGGGATGAAATTCCTTATTGCAAAATGCAGTATGTGAGGGACCAGTGGAAAGAACTGATCTTCTTAACTAGAAATGATGGAGCAGAAGGAAGAGCTGGAGGACTTATATAGCCACAAAATAACAGGAAAATACCAATATGATGTGTCCTGCAGGAGACAAGTGATGCTTTCTAATGAACTTGCTGAGACCGATCTGTTGAGTTCAGGGAGGGTGAAATACCAATGCTATCAATGAGCAGGTTTTGGAAGTATGAGGGCTCACCTGGGTTGCTGTAGTACATGGCCAGGAAAACACGCTGAGGAAAAGGGATATTGGCCTGCAGTGGCTGCAGAACAGGACTATTAAGCCAAATAAGGGAATGGAAAGCCTGTGCTCTCAGAGGAGACCAGAGGCACTTGGATGTTTAGCCTCGCTAAAGAAAGGCCAAGAGGGGATATGGTTGTGGTCTATAAATACATCAGAGGGGGTAAACACTAGAGAAGGAGAAAAGCTGTTTAAACTGCAGGACAATGCTGGCAAAAGAACAAATGGGTATAAACTAGCCATAATAAATTTTGGCTGGAAATGAGAAGCAAATCTCAAACCACTAAAGCAGCGAAGTCTGTGGAACAGCCTCTTCAAAGATCACAACACAAAGAGCCAAAATCGTGGGAAAACACTATTTGAAAAATCCACAAATAGGGTCTATATGACATGGATACCTGCAGTGGACTGGGGGAGTCAGGAGATTCCCTACTGTCCTGACTTCTGGAAGGGAAACAGCATCCACAAGAACAAGCATGCTTCTTACAGAGGGCAGTTTTTCTGGCACAGAGGACCACCATGAGGAGAGCCAAAGGCAGTGATGTTAAGTAAACAAGTTTGTGATATCTCTATCTTCCTTTGCACTATGTAATCATCCCCCACCACACATCAGTGATGGGCAATGGCAGGAATGTGGGGGAGGTTTATGCAAGCAGAGGAACAAGTGCCAGGATGCAACAGACAGGTCAGGAAAGCTGGCCAGCTCTGTCACTTCAAGCTTCAGACAGCACTGAGAACAGCAATACATTATTGCAAAAAATTTAACTGAAATTAAGATTTACAAGTAACCTCAATAAAATTCACAGCTGGTTGGGCTTAACCTTGGAGTCAAGAAGATTAGCAGGCTGTTGTCCAAATCATGAAATAATAAGTTTTGCATTTTCTTCGAAAGTGAATTACAGACATGCCTGGTCTCTATTCAGTATTGAGTAATTCAAGCTTTCTACAAAATTTCACCTCATTATTGTCATCCTTTTGTCTCCTCTAAGGAACACAACAATTTATTAATACCATTCTTCTCATCTGAAGATTTCTGATGACTTCACAGAAATTACTGGGTGACAGCTGCACTACAGTGTTGACTGAACGGAGGCACAGGAAGAGGGAGAAAAGAGTTTTTTTGTCTGTATGGAGTTTTTGTCAGCTGGTCCTGTGCTCCTGGACTAGCTGGGGTCAGTTTGCAAGATTCCTGGGTTGGCAGAGAATCAGAGGAGGATGGCACAGAACAGACTCTCATCAGGTACTACTTGAGCCTGCCCAGGCTCAGAGGCTGTAGGCACCTAAACCTCCTGACAGCCACCCTTCTGCCTCAAGGCATGCCCAGCACTTGACTGTGACAGTGGGAAGGCACCATGTTGCCTCATGCTCCCTCCCAAGCCACACCATGACAGGTATGGAGGAATCCCTCTGCTTATCAGACCTTCACTCGGTTGTCAAATGTCCACCTAACAAGGAAGAACATAGGCAGCAGAGAGCTCTTGTTCTAGGACACCACCTTGGGCTGAGCTCTTCCTTTTTCTCCTCTGAAAATTGCTTGCTCAGGATTTGATATAGTAATAAAGTACAAAACAGTGAATAGCACCAAGGCACTTCACTTTGCACAACAAAAAGTAGCCATGCATGGGTCTGCATGCACAGAGGGCCATCAGAGTTCCCTGCCATCTGCTGAGCTTCCAGAGGGCAGCACGGAGTGCAGTCAAACCAGCTGGAGATGAGGTGGGGAGATGACAGCTAATCATCTGAACCCATTGCCTACATTATGGCTGTCTCATGAGTTTCCTCAGAGCAAGAAAAAACAGCTGAGAACAGATACCACAAAACCTAACAAATCCACCTGATGTCATTATCTCTTGGGGGCTGTGTAATACAGTTAACTGCTGTTCCCAGGAGAGCTACCAAACCTAATTACTTGTTATGACTGCATTAGATGAAGAAGGTGCATGTTGCTGATAGTTGCTTAGTGAGAACATAGAGTAGATCTTTCTTTTGTCCACTTATAATTAAAGCAATCTTCTTTGTATATTAGGTTCAGTAGTTTATAATGAAATGCAATAAAGATTCCTTGAGTAAATCTTTTTTTCTTAATATGTTTATACAGTTTAATGGAGTCTCTTATTGATTGGAGGAGGAGCAGTTTCAGAAATAGTGTGCTTAAACAGACATGACAAACCATGCAATAATAATTTCAAGGCTAATGCCTGAATAACAAGCACATCCCACAACAGTGCCACTTCCATTTGTGCCAGACACATGAGAAGCAGCAATCATAAACCTCCGCAATGGCTGGGTGAAAAACCTGTCATTCTATCAGCTGTGCAGACAAATCTAGCACCCTCTGAAATCTTTATCAAAATTACCCACCAGCAGAATTAGGTAACCAACTTTAAATAGCGAGGAATAGGGAGTTTTGTCCAGTTGAGCAGCGGCAATTTGGACAGCACTGATTTTTCAGTGGAAAGACTGAAGAAAAACACAAAATATGGTACAGATCAAGAAATGCAAACACTGATGAAACACACAAATGCTTAAAGAGACTTTTATTATCAGATGAAATAACAATGCCTTAAAATAGGGTCCCATTTGGGTTAAAAAATGAACAAAGTCAAGGAACTGTAGATTAGAGCCAGGTGCTTAGCGGAACTAGAAATTTAAGAATGTTTTTGCTTTTATCTGATGATACTTGGAAGAAACGCTTATGATCATATTTCTGAAAGAAATATTTCCTGTTGTTGAGCTTTCCTTTGAAAGACATATTTCTGTTTCACTACTGAGAGCAGTTGCAGAGCTATAAATGCACAGCAGGCTACGCAAGACAGATCTTTAATTATACCTATCCTTCCATGAGTTCACTGTGAGCCAATTGTTCAAGGCTAATAAGGATTAAAACATATTCAATGACTCTGAAAAACTGTCCTAATGCTAGTCTTCCCAAATCCCCTGTATTATTCGGAGCAATACAAGCACAGCAACTCCTGTTTGCAAGTGCAAAGGGAAAACTTTACTCTTTCACACAGTCACACCCAAGCCCTGCTTTACTAAACACCACTGTTCAAAAGTTTTCAGCCAGGATCCTCATGCTCTGCAGGACTTTGATGTAAATCTGCAGGTAACATCAGAGTTCCATATGATGGCTTCCATGTAGCACTGACACTAAGTGATCTGTGACCGGACCCGACTGGGAAATTCAGGGAGAGTGGAAGACACTCCATGTCTAACAGAGGAAGTAATTAAAATAATCAAACCTACCTGAAAAGCCGCAGGCAAAGAGGCAAGTGCTTCCCTGGCTCCCTCAAACCCTACTGACATTATGCTCTAAGGTCAAAAAACATAAAGGTTGAATTCAACAAAATCAGAAGTACTGGGAGAAAACCGCATTCAGAAATCTCCTTTGCTTTTGACCTCTTTCTATCCTGAAGTTTTACAAGGAGAGCACTTGGACATCATT